TACTTTTAATTACTATCGCTTTGTCAATTTGTTCTTTCCTACAATCAGTAGACGCCCTTAATGAAAGAACCAAGAGTCAAGATGTTTGTAAGAATGCAAAAGTACTTGAAAATGGAGAACAATTAAGAGGAGGCTCATGCTCAGTTACTGTTCAGGGTGAAATACCTGACGAAAACCATATGGTCTCTACCGCTATTTTATTCCCTCCTAACGGTGGAGTTATCAAAGCAAAGCAAACTTTTACTGTTGTCACAAAAACAATCAATTTAAACACTGGATTTTTCAGTGATGCCGCAAAAGAATATTACATCTTTCCTCAAACCTTAGGCCAAAATGGTCTAATTCAAGGACACAGTCACGTAACCATTCAAAAATTCCAAAATGGCCAACAGGTACTAGATCCAAAAGTTTTTGCGTTCTTCAAAGGTTTAAACGATAAGGCCAATGGTAACGGTGAATTGAATGTAGACGTTACCGGTGGTCTCGATCCTGGCAACTACAGAGTATGTACAATGGTTTCCTCGTTTACTCATCAACCTGTTTTAATGCCTGTTGCTCAACGTGGTGCTCAAGATGATTGCGTTAGATTTACGGTTGCGAATAAGGGTAAAAAAAGAAGAAGTCTTAAGAAGAGATTCGTTAATTAATAAAAAAATTTGATATTATTATTTTACTACTTTCATTATGATAACATCACACCATCATCGCGTTATTATTATTGTTGTACTATTTCAAAAAAAAGAAAGAAAAGAGAAGAAATAAAGATGGAAACAAAGGACTGGTTTTTCTTTTTTTCTTATTCATTATTTTTCTTTTTTTTTTTTTTTACTTTATTACAGTAATTCTTTGTAAATTATATAATTATAGAGATATGTGCATGTCCAAATAAAAATTTTCCTTTAAACTGTTTCATATTTTATTTAAATAAAATTTTAATTTGTAATTTAATATAAAGAATAAATAACTGTAAAATGAAATCTAAATCCATAAAACGATTAACCCCCTCTTTATTATTATTATTACCAAATTAATTTTCTTCATGTACCATTTGTACAATGCTGCGCCGCGCGGTTTCAATATTTTTTTCTTCCCTACTCTTTTTTTTTTTTTTTTGAAAAAACAAAAAAACAATCGAATTAGGCATTCATTCACAAAAGTATGCATGGCTTGGTACGGTTCTGAAGAAGACTTGTTTCTTGACTAATAACTCAAGCTTTGATTTTTTCGTACTGGTGCCTTTTCTTTTTTTTAATACAATAGCATAAATGTCATGTAAAATCAAAACGTGGATAGTGATGCGTAGGTAATTATACAAAATTATTTATTGCGATAGCAAATAAATGATTGTTTGCATAATCATTATTAATATTAAACAATTATAAGAAATGTCAGAGGTAAAAGAAAAGCAACGCGTCTATTGGAGATCGATCACTCTCTCAGAAAACTGCACACACTTGGACAATTTGGGAACGCCAAACAATTCGATATGCAACACTTGTTTGATTATTGGATGGGTTCCTATAATTAAAAACGTTGCATTTTCCTCGCTTACATAAGGCTAAGCTCACCAATATTCTCTCTAGGATATTAAATTTTCAGGAGAGGTCTCATGGCCCTGAGGTTTATTAAATTGCATCATTGTTAAGGAAGACTGTTCACAGGTAGAAATTCAGAATTTACTTTTCGTTTTACAAGTTGATGCTCGAAAATTTCTACCTGTGATTAAAGCCTCTCTCTCTTGCCTGAAACCTTCCAGTATTTGGGATACTTCACCCATGGGAAGGATTCTATTATTATGAAAGCACTCAACTGCTAGGAAACTTATCAAATGTGACATCTGTGATTATATTTGATATCAGTCAGATTTATCCATTTGTCCTATGTGAAAAGAGGACATGGAGCAAAAACACCATTCATAAGTTTATTTTCCAATTCTGCTTGTCAGGTCTTTCCCAAATTGACTCTTTAAAAGGATTCATTTCTGCCTGGTATGATCATTATTTGGGCGATGCAACTTATCAGTTTTATTTATTTATATATAATAGCGGGGACAAAGGTATTATTCATGCTCAGGGAAACCAACAAAAAAGATAAGTAACTGAAGGATTTTTTGTAACATTTATTTTTATTTTGAACAATCAATCAATCACCATAGTTGTGCAGGCAAATTTGACAATCTCTAAATATATGGCCATCTCGACCAATTATTTATTTGTTTTTATTAGAAGAACCTTCTCATGATCAAAAATCTCCATCCATTAGCAATGATGCATATTGTTTTAAGTATTAATCTATTTTTTTTTTTTTTTTTGTGGATGTCGCATCTTTTTTATTATATTTAAATCGTTATATACAACCAAAAATAGCAACTCACTGAAACCAAAATGTCTATTAAAATTTTTTTACATATATCATCATTACATACTTTTTTTCACCTAAAAGTCTTCTTTTGATTAAAAAAATAAATTCTATGAATAGATTTTGTGACAACGAATTTACTTATTTTATTATTTTATTCATTTAACTGTTTAGCTACTATTTTTACATTAGTATATATATCTTATATTTATATATACCCTTATTACTTATTATGAAATAACATTTCACAAGACACACAAAGACACAAACGATTTCATTATGATGATATTGTTCTATATATATTTTATTATAGAAATGTCGATCATTTTTATGAAATCCATGCACGACAATGATTATTGTACTTGGAGAAAATATAGAAAACCAAAAGCTAGAAATTTCCGATGCAGCATCAAGTAAATGGTACGCATTACTTTTTTTAAAAATGCTACACGTCATTTCTTAAAAATAGTACACAAGTGTTTGTGTTTAATGCTACACCAGCGCATGGACGATGATTTTTTGCATAGCGCAGAATGCTGCAGAAACCGCGGGAATGTGTATTTTAAAAATGGAAAATACTATATATAATGTACTCAAAGAGTTAATAAGTGTAACAGGAAGTTTTTGATATTTAATTTAGTGCGACGTATTTAACTTTAAAAAGGAGATTTTCAGTCATTTGTTTTAAAAAGGAATTTTTCGAAAAAAAAGGAAATTTCAAGTGTTACGAAAACGATTGCGTTGTGTAGATGGGCGTCTAAATTGTTTTTTGGGTTGTCCAAAGTCAAAAATGTCTAAATGTCTAAATTAATATAAATAGTAATGATTTGCTTTAAATACAACTAAAAGTCATGTGTATATACATAATATCCACAAAGTTCAGTAGATTATCCAACAAAAAATTCAATTTCAGCATTTTAGACAATTGAGACCATGATTGTCTAAATGTCTAAATTAATTTATATTTTAGACACCCATCTATAGATGGAAGTTCTATTTATAATAAAAGAAGGAAAAGATATCGGACTGATAAAAAAAAGCTTAAGCTGACTCTGAATTTACATCCCTTCCGTCCCTTTGATTTATATAATAATAGATAAACTTATGTTTAAAAATAAATTTCTTAAGCTTTAGTTTAAGAAATGCCTTCTAAATCCGAGTAATAAAAATGAATATAAAATGAAGGGATGTCAATTGATCAAATTCATAATATTCTTTTGTTAAAAAAAAAAAAAAAAAAATCAAAATAACTAATTAAAAAAAAAATAATATCATACATTTTTTTATCTACGTGCTTCATTAAGACCGTCTCTTCCGCTGACAGTGTAATTAGTGGAAGCCAAAAAATTGAATCAAATTGCTGGCCATTTGGGCCATATATAAAACAAGCCCAACCACGTTGTTGAATGTTGATGAGCCAAGCTCCTTTGTTAAAAAACTTGCATATTCTCAGTTTTGACTCTGCTCAATTAAAGGTCTCTAAAACAACATTAGAAGAATACGAAAGATTGGAAAAGGTTGATACTGAAGGGTTGCAAATTTGATAAGGCGATAAAAAAAAAATTAATTTATCATGTTATGGAACAAATCAATCTTTTCTACTTACCACTGCATTTGTAATTTTTTTTTGGAATACAGTCAGACTCCTATATAGTCACACACCTCGGGACCATAATGAAATTTCAAGAATTTTGGTGACTATAGTGTTTGTGACTATACAGGACATGTTTTTACTATGATTAATTAGTTAGCAGTGAATTTTTCAAATTAACAAAGAAATGTGACAATACTATGTTGTGACTATTACTATATAGGATGTGACTATATAGGAGTCTGACTGTATATATTAAAAAAAAAAAAGGTTTAACAAGCAAGCTATTTAATATTAGTATTAATATTAATATTTAGTTAATTGACGTTTACTGCTCCTGAGAAGAAAAACAATCCATCGTTTTGTCCTGTTTTTGTTTTATTATATTGATGTTAATATTAAAATACAAATAAATTCGTGCACGTGCTACCGCTCACTGCGACGTTTAACTTAAAATCTTGTTTATATTATACAACTCATGTGTAGATCCACCATGCTTTTCTCCTTTGAATTGTTATCACTATGTTCAATCAAAGTTCAATTTTTTGGTCAATTTATAAAAACAAGAATGGTATTATTTTATTATGCTATAATTTTATTTATTATTGTTATGCTATCATTTTATTATTATTTTATTATTATTATTATTATTATTTTGCAAATTAATTCATTATCATTCCCTTAAATTATTTATTATATTAATTTCTTTTTATTGAATTTATTATAGATTCATAACTGATTAGGCTTACTGATTCCTTTGCAAGTATTTCGTTGGATCGAATTCTTCCCGTGTATTCAACCCCATTGAGAAACACTTTTGAGTAAAATTTACCTAATACTAAGTTATCTGTATCTTTTATTTCGAAAATTTGATATCTAGGTTTCATAACGTGTGTTTTTGCTGCAAATTCGTGTACCAATTCTATGAATGTTTTAGATGAAAAACAACGGCTATGGTCTAAATGTATTCTTTTGTTTCTTTTGTTCATTAAAGATGATCTATCTCCGTGGTCTGATGGTCTTCTTTCTTTCATCAGATTTCTGTGGTAAAAGTGACTTCTTTCTTTCGTTAAAGATGATGGAGCTGGTGGTCTTCCTTCTTTCACTGAAGATGATGGGCTTCCGTGATCAAAATACCTTTTTTCTCTTATTAAAGATGATGGATCTGATGGTCTTCTTTCGCTCACTAAGGATGATTGATTTCCGTAATCTGATGGTCTTCCTTCTTTCACTAAAGATGATCGACCTCCAAAATGTCTTCTCTCTTTAACTAAAGTTGATTGCTCTCTACGGTACAAATTTCTTCTTTCTTTCGCCAATGATAATTGATCTCTGTGGTAAAAATGTTTTTTGTTTACTAAAGATGATCGATCTCTTCTTTTGTTCGCCTTATCTTTAGTGAACAAAGGAAGATATTTTTGATTTCTATGATAGAAACAACTCCTTTCTTCCACTAAAGAAGGTGAATATAATGGTCTTCTTTTTTTCATTGAAGATGATCGATTTTTGTAGTCTGATGACCTTTTTTCACTCACTAAGGATGATCGATTTCCGTGATCTGATTGTCTTCCTTTTTTCATTAAAGATGATGGATCCGATAGTCTTCCTTCTTTAACTAAAGATGGCTGATTTCTGTGATCTGATGGTCCTCCTTCTTTGACCAAAGATGGCTGATTTCTGTGATCTGATGGTCCTCCTTCTTTGACTAAAGATGGTTGATTTCTGTGATCTGGTGGTCCTCCTTCTTTGACTAAAGATGGTTGATTTCTGTGATCTGATGGTCTTCCTTCTTTAACTAAAGATGATTGACTTCCACAGTCCATTGATTCCTTTTTTCTTACTTCTAACTTAGCTGTATCTATTCCTTTCCTATATCATTTACGTCGACTTCTACCGGCAACCCAAGATCATTAAACCTGTCCTTATAAGAAGGTATATCATAATCAAAAATGTCATCATCATCGAGAATTCTTTTGGTATGCTATACTTTTTTCACGAATGATTTTCATTTCATCTAATCTAATTTCTTTATGCAAAATTTCAAGGGCTATAGCAGCAACGTGATCTTGTGCCTCGGGCCTGGTTTCAAATCCTTTTGATAGATTGAATTTGCGTTTTCCAATAATAAGAGAAACATAAAATAATAATCCTTTTTTTGCAGTATCAGAGTCAGCATTAGCTACTGGCGGTGGATGGGTAGCAGCATCAGCTACAGTTTTTGCAATGGAAATCGTAAGATCGTTGCAATGGTTAATATATTTAATCCCTACTAATTGTGGTTGTGGTGGTTTAATGTCAACATAAACTGGATTTCCAAGGTTATAATTCAACATGAAGTCGGCTAAAAGTGTTCTATATGGTGTTAATGGTTGTTGTGTATCGAGCCAAATATCGGATGGTGGTCTTGAAATTTTTTCGGCAATGTCTTTTGTCATTTGATGAACACCATTTCCAAACACTAGTCGCTTGGGGCCTAACTTACATCTCATTTCGAGGATCTGTTGGATGGTAACCGCCAACTTTGGATAACGATTTGTTAAAATTTTTAACACCACTTTAGCTACAGCATTTTTTGCATCCTTTTGTCTGTCGTACAATAGTTCGGTTTCCCACTCTTCGTTCTCGTAAGTTAATTTACATGAGTATTTTCTATTGACCTTCTTGTCGTAAGTGTATATTGGTGGTAACGCGTATTTTAATTTTTGCTGAAACAACGCGACAACAGCTGATGGTGAAAACTCGGATTCAAATTTTTCATATAATTCCCACCCTGTTTTTATACTGGAAAACATTTGTTTCTAAAAGTTTTTTTTTTTTAAAAATAATTAATATTTTTGTGAAAAGGGTTTTTTTTGTTTGTTTTTTTTTATCAAGTTTATTTTTTAACATTTGCAAGATTTCCAAAAAGAAAAAAATGTGATACAGACACGTGTAACGCGTATAAAAAAAATTAACATTTCAGTCAGTCAAGATTTCACGCGATCGACATGTCTACTGTCATAGCTATGTAAAATTTTTGTGAAACATGTCAATTTTTACTATTAAAA